TGGGTCTCGAACGGGCTGGCGTGGCAGCGCGCGAGAGCGGACGGGTCCCGCGGGCTTGCTCAGCTCTGCTGAGCTCGACTTTGTCTTTTAAAAGCTCTTAGTTGCTGCTGGCAGCGGTGAAGTGGGGTTTGCACAGGTTTATTTGCTTCTGTGCGGTGCCCTGGGGTTGAACTGATAAGGCGTAATGAGAGCGCAAAAAGTGCAGCGGAGAAGGAAAATGTTTGAACGTCTCCTGTTGCCACGGGAAATACTCTGTGAAGAGCTTTTATCTTCTCGATCCCAAACACAACTCCTGGGCAATAAGAGAAGGAGGAGAAGCTGAGCTCTTGGCAGCTACAGCTGCACCGGCTTTTGGTAAAGCTCCTGACAGTTTGTCATAGCTGCAAATCTGATTGCAGCCTGTATAAAATGTTCTTGGAGGGATGTGAACATGTCCCTGTCTGCAGGAACAGGTATATCTGTACACGTGTAGGAAAGGAGAGACTGGATATCCATCCCAAGCCTGTTCCTTTGGGAGATGCTGCCTGGGCAGCCACTTCCAGGAGAAACCCAGCACCCAGTGTCTTCCCAGCACTTAACTCAAAGAGTTGCTTTTCCAGTATTTTTCTTTTTAAAGGTTCATTGTTTCTGCTCAAGGTTCTGCAGTATCTTGGTCTGGATGTGACCGAGGAGAAGAAGAGGCAGTTACGGCAAAGCTTGACCACAGACTCGCAGGGGACAGTGGCCTACGGAGGTGAGTGGGCGGCTCTGAGTGTGATGGGCTTGGGCTTTTTTTTCATTTTTGCGTAGCTTTGCTGGCAGCTAAGAAAGGAGAGAGGCACCTGCTGAAAGGTGGCAGGTAAGACACCTGCCTGGGTATTGATAGAGCCTCAAAACAGCTAAGAAAAGTCACAAATACAAAAGGTGGCTTTTGGTCTCTACCATGTGTAAAATGAGAATAAAGGGAAGTCAGTGCAAGGGCTCACTTTCCTTAACCCCCAGCTTGCCAAGCAAGAGCTGGCTAGAGGGCACGCAGAAAACAAAAGCCAGCTCTGCTGTGACCTGCCAGAGCATAGCTGGCTCTGCTCCCCAGAAGTTTTTTCGCAAAAATTCAAAGCCGTCAGCGACGTCCCCACCAGACAGAACAGGCTTGCAAAGCACAACGCCTCTTGGACGGATGTTTTTGTGCAGAGCGAGCAACGGGGTACGGAACCGGCTCCGTAGTTTGCAGCAGTAGAAATAAGGACGATTAGGGGTATTTGACAAACGTGCTGGCAGTGAAGATGCTGCTCTTGCGGAAAGGCTCTGGTCCCTGCTGCAGCCCAGGGGCTGAGGACTGGAGGGGCTGGGACCTCGGTGCCTCCTCCTCTCCGCCGCGCCAGCTCCCGGCACACAGCCCCTCGCACCGTGCCTTCCTCCATGTCTGAAAGCAAAATGAATCTGCATTTTCAGACTTGTCAGCTTAAGTGTTTCTTTCTAAGTGCCGAAGGCGTCGAGTTGTTTTTTGCTTAAATCAGCAGCAAGAGAAATGCCAGCAGGCAGGCGGGTGCCTTTGGTCAAAGAAATGTGGTTTTAGCTTAAAATTTTAAAACTCTGAGAACCACGATCGTCCGCTGTGAAAATGTCTGAGGTTTTTTGTTTTTTAAAAGGTTCATTTTTTTCAAATGGAAAAGAAACAGGAGTCTGGTAAAGACTGTCAACAAATTATTTAGGCTTGACGAGACTGCCAAAGAGCACAGGAGTGTTAGAGAAGACTGCTTGGCATCTCCAAACCCACTCTGCTTGGCAGTCAGTGGATGTCCCCAAAATCGGTGGCACTTTCTCCTAACACACCGTGCTTTCCTCTTTTAGCCTGTTAAAAACTGATTCTTCCTCACAGATCTTCTCCAAGCACTCAGGGATCTGATGCAAGAGGAGCTAGATGAGGCTGGTCTGGATTCCGGCTCCATGCTCTTCACGCAGCACGAGGTGGCCAGTTTGCTGGATACGTCGGCTTTCCACTCTCCGGTCAGTCAGTCCAACACTCTTCTACATTGAATCCATGAATATTCCACGTGAAATCCATGAAATTCTGAGACGGGGGAAGCTAAATTACCATTTCCTGCTGGTTCTAGAGTTGTAAAGAGAAGGCAGAACTGTGCATTCATCATTTAGATTATAGGAAATTCTGTGAAAGACCTAAAAATTCTCAACTTCAGTAAAGAAGTAACAGTATCTATGGGATGATGTGAAGGAAGTAGCCTGGCAGTGATGCAGAAGGAAAATTTGCCATAATTAATCAATTCCAACTAATTTCACCTGCTTCACAAAATGAGAACTCCCCATAGCACACCTATTCCAGCTATGTCAGGGATCAGAGCGTGAAATCCTGTGGGGTGGAAAAAACCCCACCCTGCAGCTGAATTATTTAATGTGCCTTTTGATCTGTTGGATAAAAACGCTGACTCCCTCTCAAAGTGATTTTGATTTTGATTCACCGTTGTTCTGGGTATGGAAAACCACACAGCCCCATGGTTTTGGTAAAGCGTAAGCGGTGCGTGATGCTGTCTGTCCCTCTGCCTTGCAGACCTTCGACGCTCTCAGCTGTAACGGCAACGAGGAGCTGGAGCAGCTGCAGCTGGAAGTGATGGATCTGCGGCAAGAAGTCCGAAGGCTCAAGGTGGAGCCTCTCCTCTGAGCAGATTTCTTGGCTGGTGCCTTCTGCTGTAGCTCGCTGTAGTCGTGCACGAGGGCAGTGGTGTAGCCTGCCCCTCTTACGAAGCCACCAGTTTGCATTCTGCGCATTCCTCGTTACAAAGGAGACTCTCAGCCTCAACTCTCCTTAATTGCCTCTTTCTCACTCTCAACCTCAAATGAAAACTTACTTGTACTGAAAGCATGCAGTCACTTTTTAGCAGTGTGGTGGGGGAGAGTGCACCAACCGCTACTGTAAAATATTATCCTGGTGGGTAGGGGCTACAAGGCCAGGGCATCTTCTAGACAATGTCTGATCGCTTCTTGCTTCTAATCCAGTGAAAATATTTTCCCTAGTCTCTCCTGAAAGAGGTGGAGAACAGCAAGAAGTCAATGGAAGACGAGCTTCAGAGACTGAACCAGGTTAGTGAAGAGATTGCTGGGGGCCTTGGGGTGGATGCGGTGGTTGGCAGCCGAGGGGGATGTGGTGCATTCACCAGAACTTCTCGCTGCTTCCAGAAAGCCCTGGGCTTCCTCTCCGAGAACCGGACGCTGCACAGCAAGCTGCAGGTGGCAGAGGTCGTGCAGAGACAGGCCCACAGCGCGGAGCAGGACTACGAGGAAGTGATCCACTTGCTGGAAGCTGAAATTGCAGAACTGAAGATGCAGCTGGCGGGGAAGAAAGCAAAACACATCTCTGAAATAGAGGTAATGCAACCCCTCAGCCTGGGAAAAAACCCCCACAACCCACCTGACCCTCCTTCTGTGGGTTCTCCTTCTATTTATAAAGGAGGAAATGAACGTAGCACATGCGTCATTTGTTGTGTATGACCACAAGGCTAGCGTGGTCTCTGGATCTGTGTTATAATCTGTATAATTTCCTCTGTCCACTCCAAAAGGACAGTCGTCTTCTGTTTGTAGCAAATGTCATAACATGGTGTTTCCAAAAGCCAAGGCTGGAGCGCCATCATCACCTTTTTCTTCTTCCCCCGGCCCCGTCTCAGGAAGACATCCTGGAACTGAAAAGACAATTGTTCCTGGCTGACGGCCAGTTACGAAAATCAGAAGTCTCACGGAAGCGCCTGGAGATCTGCAATAGGAAACTGCTCCTGT